TTCACGCCTCAAAAGTCAGAAATGCCTGAGGAGACCATTAATGGTATCGCAGAAAATGAATCTGTTCCACCAAAACCACCCAAAAAGAGGTATACAGAATCACCTTTCCAAGATGATCAAAAAAGAGACTGTAAAACAGATCTATTTGGTGAAAAGAAAAGAAAAAGAACTGAGTCAAATAATAATGAACAGCACGAAACGGTAAGAATCAATCTGCTTATGAAAATATAAATTTACGAAACATTACATAATATGTATTATTTATTATTTTACTATTTGCTGCCTATATTGGTGCCTACTTAATATATGTAATCAATTAAACATTTATTTTAGATCATAGAAGATGAGAAACATACAATAAATTCTTTTGTGACAACGCATACACAACCAGAGGAGAATTTTCGTAGTGAAAGAACATGTAAAGGTTTACGTTATCAAAAATTCCTTGCTGAGCAAAATATCGGTCCTTCGGGCCAACAGAATAAACGAAGACGAACAGTTGGAAGTCATAGGTAGGTGATTAAAACTTTTTTTTCGGAATATTGTGAAATAACTAATTTTGTCGTCTCTGCAAGTGTTATCTATAATATTAAAAAATATTTTTTTATTGTTCTAGTCATGATGAACGTGCAAATGAAAGAAGAAACTCTATTTCTTCAAATGTTAGTGAAAAAACAGATTCCTTAAGCAGTGAAGGAGGAAACAGTTCTCGTGGAGATTTAGAACATCTTGTAGAGAGGTAACATTCCTATTTTATATTTTTTTAGAATATTTAATTAATCTTTTTTATATGTATATAGAAATAATGTGAAAATGTATTTAGTGCCGAAGGAAAAATGGAAGCTTCTAAACCTGAGGATACGGAAACTGAAGGTGCCGAAGATCAAGTAGATTATGGACCTTGGACTGCACGTAAAAGATTTCGAGCAGAGTATGTTCTTTGGAATCATTCTCAGATAAATAATATACATACATTTTTTTATCTTATTGTATTGTATTTTAAGTTAGAGATGTATTATAACTACGTTCTAGAAGCATGTTTTCAACGTTAATATGTCATTCTATCTTTATCATTCATTTAGATTCAAAACAAGCATAGAATACGCTGGTAGAACTGAAAGTGCGCTTCTGGAACCTAATATGTCTTATAAATAATATTTATACTATAAATTTATATTATAAATATTTTTCTAGAGACTTTAATTTGGAAAAGAAAATTGAGGCATTACCATCTTTGAGTTTAGAGGAATTTCAAGAAAAGAAGAAACAGCAACGTACGAAAAAAAAGAAAATTTTGCAAAAGTTTAATTCTTCTGCAAACAAAAAACATCAAAATAATTTGTCTTCTGATGGTCAGACAAATGGTCAAACTCAAAAAATTAGTACAATAAAAGAGAGTTATGAGGAATCGGAGAAAGCTCATCTTGTTGGAAGTCAGAAACGAAAAGCGCGAAAGCAAAGCATTACGCGAAATGCTGCGGCAATCAATTCTACCAAACATTCTGAGGATCAAGAGCAAAATAAATGTAAGTTATAAGTAATTTTTCTTAATAAGTTAATTGAACATGTTATATATTAATATATTTATATTTATTTATTTATGTATATTGAGGATAATTTTATTATAGTCGAAGAAAGTTCAAAATATTTTTTTATTCTGTAAAATTATTAGAATATATATACTGCAAATAAAAGTTTTATTATAAAAAATAACAATTGTGTGATATTAAAGGCGATAATAGTCAATAAAATTTTATTATAATTTAATTTTACGTATAACATATAATTGCTTTTAAATTTTGTTGAAAAATTTTACGTTAAAATAATTAGAACATTTTAATGCTTTATTATTTTAATTTTTATGATAGAAGCTTTAATTAATGTTTTATATATTGCCAGCTTGGTGTGCATCCCCAGATCTTGAAGCTCTAGCGTGTCTTGCAACGGTTGCCGCCAATAGAACAAAACTTACCAAAAATAACGCTTAAGGTCGCACTATAAAAACCAAAACTTTATTAAGGTTTTTCAATGCAGTTTCTTATTACCAGGACTATTAAAATATACTTTTTCAAGTGCTGTTATAAATGATACTGCTACGGTATCAATAACATAATGATTATTGTTAATATCTTTATTGTTAATCTTTACTATTACAAATATTAATATTACAACTGCTATTGACTATAGATTATTCCATTATGCAGCATACGAGGGTCGTGTTCTTTTTATTTGGAATAACAGTTTTATTAAAAAGGAAGGTAAAGGATATCTTTTACATTTTATTATGTAAAAAGTCATTTTTTAATTACGGTTCGGAAAAGATATTTACTTTATTTATCTTTCTCCTAGTTGTATGTATATAATATAGTTAAATTATCTAGTATAATTAATCATTTTAATAATAAGTATTTTATGATTGTGTTATTAAATTTGATCATTAAGATGATATTTTTAATTATCTATGCCTTCTCTTTCTCGTTAAAATCTGTGCGAATTCTATGAATCATATTAATGCCACAACAATAAATCTGATTAAATAATACAAAGCTGTGACGCCTATGACTATACGAAGATGGATTTAAATTAAATGAATAGAACGGAATATAAAAATAAGTAAGAATTTGTATATTATTCTATTTTTTACAGAATGTATTTTATTTTCTTAACTCATTGCCTTTTTTATACAAAGTCGCATACGCAAATTAGCATGATTGCAGTGATTCCATTAGACGCAAAGTGTAACGCTCGAGAAGAATTTACTTTCGTTATCATTTCCGATAATGTATAGGAGCGAAAATATATTTTAATTTACTCTTTATTATATTCTACTAGCATTCGATGTACATAGGTATAGGTGCAGTATTATATGTGGATTATACGAGATGTGGAATATCCTTTATGATATGAATTTAACATCAAAAAGGATATAATCAAAATATAGATATATGTGCGACCACTATTTACATGTTATACATGCATACACGCTTATATACACGCGTTTATATGTGTAAGTTTAAATGTTTATAGATTTTCAGGTGTATACACGAGTGCATGTTAGATAATTAACTCTATGTATTGAAATACGCGTGTATTCGTGTATGCATGTAATAGAGTCATAAGACTACCTGCATATGTGAATGTATATTTATAATATTTATATCAGCTATATATATATATATATATCTTATTATACATACATATTATGTATATTTAGCGTTAAGACCAGAGGATGCGACTTTGTGCTCTGTTTGAGAAAGTAAGAGATTTGTCTGTGATTTCGGCTAAAAGGAGTTTTTAATGTTTTATATTTTTCTAATAATTCTTTTTTTTCTTTTTTCCTCTTTTTCTTTTATATTTTATTTTCTCTCTGTAACATATATAAAACTATATTTTTTCTCTTTCTATATATATGTATATAAAACTTTATAATTTTATTAACGATGTAACTTTGTAAACTCTTTGTGAAATGGTAAGAAGAATGTAACGTTAATAGGTTTCTCCGTAGTTACAAAAGAATGTACTGATTTCAAATGTGCCTTGAAGAGATATGGATATAGTGATTAAATAACCGACCAACAATATATTTTCGATTCGTTTCGCTCTTCTGACCGTATTTTGGCTTTTACATTTGTACCTATCGCAGTATGAAACTATCTTGCTGCAGGACTTTACGAGGGCTTAATTGCCAATATATGAAGATCGGATATTTAACAAAATCAGGGGAGAATGTTTCAAATTTTACTGCACAAAACATCTATGTACCTAGCTTTAAAAAATGTAATTTACATGAGTCTATATATACGTGTACATATTATATACCACATTTATATATGATTAATAAAGATATAATATTTTGATGTAATACTTATTTGTATATTTAGTCTGTTTTGTGTGTTGTATGCGAACTCTGTGACTATTTTATTTATTATAAAGATTAAATATTTTTTCTTAAAGTACTTTGCAATATTTATAACATTTCGTTATTAAAAATTTTTGTAATATAAATAATATGATTAATCTATTATCCAAAATGTAACATAAATTATTATTACTTATTGTTGCTTGTTGAAAATTTTGTTGAGGACTTTCATTTAATAAATTATTTACAAAATATAAATGAGATTTCTAAAACTTATGTATAATAAAAAAAATACATTAATACAATAAATATAGAATTGAATACATATATAATTTTACGCAATCAATTAGAGATAGAAATTATAGTTTTGATGATTAATCCATATCGTGATTATTAGTAACTTTTTTAATATTACATTTAATTATTTATTTTTTCTCTGTTGCAGTTCTAGAGGTCAATTATGTATCTTAAAATGAGGTGAAAATTACAAAAGTGAGTAAATTCATTAAAATGGATTTTTTTTACTATATTCAGTAAAATATTTATATTTTATGTTTGTAGTTTTTAAATGAATTTGTTCACTTTTGTAATTTTTATTTTAAGATAAACAATCGACTCTCTTGAATCAAGTAGAGTTCCTCTAGTAAGAGTTAAGCCATCAGCCATCACACTTCATAACAGTATATTAACATTAATTCAAATGTATGTACATCATATATTATAATGTGTATACTCTCTAACTGCGTCCTTTCGGTCTATTGAGAAATTTCATTAAAAGTGATTTCTTCTTTACTACAATACGAATATGCAGTTTCAATCTTCGCGCGTTGGGTGATCCCAGAAAATGGCGGCTTCCGGCTGATGGCTTAACTCTTACTAGAGGAACTCTAGAATCAAGTATCTTTTGTATCTTTTACTGTATGAATTTGTTCACTTTTGTAATTTTTATTTTAAGATAAACAATCGACTCTCTTGAATCAAGTATCTTTTGTATCTTTTACTACTCGTTATCTCGCGTTGGAAGTTCCGTCTCTATACCTATTCCGATGATCCGCGGCGTATCATAAAAACATTTCTCCCACTCCAGCTCTACTGTTGGTATACATTGGCAGCATATGACACGCATACAGCAGCAGACACGAGTCCACACGAGTCGACACAAACAACAAAGAGAGAGAGAGCAGTATGGCAGCATTGACAATTGTGTAATTTTTGCTTTTCTACGACATATCGATTCGTCAGATAAATAAACGTTACCCGATCACGGATCGGTCTCAGACAGACCGTTGCAGATCATTCCATCAGCTGCTTCACAAAATGGGAGTGATATTCCTCGAACATATCGGTGGCAGTCGCCTGTTCTCCTGCGCTTCTTGCGATACCAATCTCACCAATAGATCACAGCTCGTGAGCACACGTTTCACGGGTGCCACGGGACGTGCATTCCTCTTCAACAAAGTCGTCAACCTGAATTATAGGTGCGCCTTTTTATTTGTTGTACAAGATTATTAGTATAAAACTATTTCCTAAAATGATTTATACTTTTGTACTCAAACTTTCAAAGTCTACACTGTTATGAAATATTTATTAGACAGCATTCTTTTCGACTATTGTGTTCCTGTAACATATTGAATTTGAAAAGAAAAGAGGAAAAATAAAAGGTCTGTTTATTTTACCTGAATTTCTGTGTACGTAATTCAGGTAAAGAAATTTCGGTTAAAAAGAACAAGCCTTTTTCAGGTTCTATCGTTATGAAATATGTATTCAATTATTTTTTTTAGATGCTTTTCATTTGATGATACAAGTTCTATTTTTTGATACTTTCTAGCGAGAGATAATAATACAATGATCATTTCGTCTCTGTTTGACATAGGCAAACAACAAGAATGTAGCGATTTATAATATATTTCTTACTGGAAAGCATCATTAGTCATTGAATACCAAACAAGGTAGAATATTTGTATCAGCCACGATTATGAAATCTTTAATTATAAGCTGGAGATAACAGTTTTGTACATGTATCTTTGATTGTCTGACTGATGGAAAACATTTGATGACACTTATTTTGTTTTTTGAATGAACTCATTACAATACAGTAATCATTTTGAAAATAGCAGGCAATCTTCAGCAAGATAAATGAAATTTCTGGTCTTTAAGAGGAAAACTGACAACTGGTAGCTTCAACTTGTGTTACTAAATGGAAAGCACCGTTCGATTGTTTTTCTACACAGTTTATTTTCTTTGTATATTTTATAGTCAAATCAAACATGTTAGAAAATGTGTGAAATTGAAATAATATGTTTAATTGAATATAAAACTCATGTAATACCTATCACATGTCTACCATTTAACTCTGTGATATGATGTACAGCGAGGTTCAGGACAGAGTGATGCTGACGGGTCGTCACATGGTTCGAGACGTCAGCTGCAAAAACTGTGATGCTAAGCTTGGGTGGGTGTACGAATTTGCAACAGACGAGCAACAACGATACAAGGAGGGTCGTGTTATCTTGGAACGAGCTCTTGTCACAGAGAGCGACGGATTGACAGAACATAATGTTCAACAATAATGTTTAATATTTAATACTAAGTAGCGTTTAATATATTAAGAAACAATATAGGAACCTCATTTAAGTTATAATAATTTTTAATCTTGTCAATTACAAAAGATTCGTGACTAGCATCAGATTTATTTGTGTGTAAGCAAGTGTTGACAATGTTATTTTCTTGTGATAAGAGACATGCAACATTTTCGTGAATGTGATACGGTTCGTATGTTGTATAAGGAAATGTCTTGGATTTCGACCCTTATTTATGTCACCCTTTCAGATTTACATCTACATTTTCGCGTCAAATCTTATTCACGACAATTGTTGAATCTATAGAAGTGTAAACATCATTGGTATTTTCTTGTAGATGGAACATTAATAAACTGACCTCAGTGGCAAATACATATGTTTGTCAAGAAAATTAAGAAAACGTGAGTATATACATTTTAATGAGCGTGTATTGATGTGAGTGCAATATAGATATAATTGAACAGCATGGATCATGTAACTTTATTTATACCCTTTCAATAAATTTGACGGAAAAGCAACGATGTACAAACTTGCGTGGAATTAACGCTAAATGTGCTTGTCTGAGATATTTAATTTTAATTTGTTTTTTTTTTTATTCTTGTTTCCACATTGTAGATTAACTTTAATCTCAGTTCAATTTTTTAACTTACAGATATATAGTAAATTGAAAAAGTATATAAAGACTTCAAAACCTCATGAAAATTACATATTGAAAACTTCGAATACTTTCCAAAGAGATAAAGGTCATGTTCAGCATTAATAAATGTAGACGTAAACATAAAATGTAATAACAGAAGGAAATATTCAGATTTGGCAATAAATATAAGACTTTAACTTAGTAATATTACGGAAGCATTTACTTTATACTTTAGATAAACGGATAACGATTCTACATAGAGGGAACAAAAATAAAAAAAATACATTTCTTAATCTTAAAAGATTTAGAGAACGATAAAATGCCATGATAAGTAATAGATATACGAAATTGTTTTTCATGACAAATTATTTTTGATAGCGTTGGCTTCTCAATTAATGGATAATCAGTGAAGAAACTAACATTATATTGGGTATTTTCATTTTTCCAATTTATCATTGTTTCAACATTACTACGATACATACATAAACATAATTTTGTAATGTACTTTGAATACATAAGTTTTGTATAATTTTCGTATCTAATCGATTTTCTAAATTTATTGAGTTTGATTTTAATTCTTATCATATTATAGCGTGTAAATACGACAGCAGTTTCATCATTTTATACTTTATCATGACTAACTATTATAAATAAGAAAATCAAAACATGTACGATAAAAATGAATAACTGAAAAGCATACAAGATATCAAATAAAAATTTATCAATTTATATATACAACAAAAATATTATTCCTTGTAATAAATTATATATTATATCATTATATAATTTATATAATTATATATTTATACATGATATATGATCTATTAAAAGGAATTGTTTTTTATAATTACATATTTATATATACCTAATCATATATTTTCGCATAATTTATAATGTGCATTTAAAAATACAAAATATTGCGCGGCTTTTTGAAATAAATTTTAATTCTTTTTTTATAATCAGCCTAGTCCCTTAAATTCTCATGTACATGAATTAATATTAATAAATATAAAATTATAAAATTGGAAGGTGATTATATTATTTTGTACGTTGTCAGTATTTTGAATTGGTCAATATTAGACTGAATTTCTATAAGGAAACCAGAGACACAATTCTAGCAAGATAATCGGCTTATCGAAGTTACCAATTTTCCTTTCAGATAAGTTAGTAAAGATAAAGTGGGGAAAAATGTTAGGAATGTTGACGAGAAAGTCGATTCGTCTGAAACTTTTAACAATTTTTTGCATCCGGTGATTCTTCTGATGTAACTATTCAATTGTTGTGATGTCAATTAATAATGTTAGCGAGATACATATAGCGAATTATAAATGAAGTTGCACGCGGTTGATGCACCCGCCAAGAGACAAACGAACCGCGCCCGCAGGCGCGTTATGATTGGTTAGTGGCGCTGCATCTCGTGATGTGCAGCGCCACCAATCCTCGGCCAGCGAGACGCCGCGAGCGAAGCCAAGCGGATGGCGAAGTATTTCTAGCAATCCTGGCCTGGCATCATTTGGGGAGTGCGATAGCACTGGAGAGCAGTGTGGTCACGTAGTCCCATCGCGCCGCATGGTGGATGGACGTTACTTCCGTTCGGACACCGGAAAAAATGCTGTAAATTTGTGCGTCGTCGCCGTTGCAGTGAAGCGGAAGGAGCGCGTGCCAGCGGAGATTGTCCGTCGCCGGTCCACTTTTACGGTAATTATCGTGTGTACTTAACCGCAAGAGAATATTCGCGAAGAAGCAAGGCGAGGGAGAAAGAGAGGAGAGGAAGCTTGTTCGACGACATCAGCGTACCCGACCGACTGAAGTAAGCGGCGCGTATCGCAATCGCGTTTCGGATCGCCGAGGGATGCATCCCTCGACGACGAGAGCGGCTCCACAGTTGGCGGATCGCCTTTAATCCCCGCGTCGTCATCGTCGCCGATGTCGTCGTTCGTATCCATCGAGATCCATCCCGTCGATCGATCTCTCTCGATCTTTCCCGGCGGGGGATCTTCTCCGTCCTCCCTTGTTTTCGTCTCATCGTTCTCCGTCCCCGCCCCCCCC